GGGGGGGGGGGGCTCTTCGCCCAGAACCCGGCGCCAGATACTTGCTGCTACACACTAGTTCCTCCCTCTCCCTATCAGCCCCAGTCCCAACTGTCAATTCCTGATGATGTCTGACAATATAATTAACTGGCTCCCCCTTTTTTTTAAGATACAGATGCCAGGACCCGCCGCACCCTCTCTTCCTTTGTCCCATGCCTGTTGTCTGTTTCACTGCTCCCGCTTTCCTCTCTAGCTCCCGTACCACCTCAGTTATCTCGTAGTCAATTTGAAATTGCTGCGCGTTTTTCATTATGCAACTTCTCCTCGAGTATGTTTCAACTTTGCCACTTTTTTTTTTTCTTTTCTTTTCTTTTCTTTTTTTTTTAACAAACAACCCAAGTGAATGCTAGAGGTGCTGATAAGAGCAGACACCACTAGCATGCTCGGGGAGGCTCCATCTATTGGTGGGGAGCGGCACCTGCTGGAAATCGGGTATAGCGTCCCTCATCATTTATACCCAGGTGTTCTGAAAGTCCTATTGGGCGGCACCTGCTTAGTTACCGCTTTACTCTGTCATTGTTTAAACCGCACTGAAATCGATGCAATGTTTCTTTTTTTTTTTTCTTTTTTTTTTTTTTCCATTTTCCAATGGGTGGTACTCCCAAAAAAAAAACATTCCTGCTTTTCAAAAGACTAGTGGACAGCGAGGTGGAATAGCCAGGAAGGCGGGTCGGGGTGCAAAAAGGAACGGGCTGGGGAACGAACAGTCCTGCTGGTGCCCCCCAGTGGTACTTTCGTGTCTCCCAACCAGAGATGTGGGACCTGGCTTTCAGTTGTGGAGTTCGCAGGGGGGTAGGGTAGGGGACAGTAGGAAGGGAGAAGGTTAGTATTATCCTATTTCCAACAACCTGCCCAGTCAATCCTCTGAATTCTTTTTTTTTTTTTTTTTTTTAAAGGGGCCCAGTGCCCATGGCTGATATTACCAATGAAAATATTGAGGCCGGGGTCCTCACCGTCTGCCCGGAGTAACCGAACCAAACCTGTTGAGAACCGGGGTCCTCAGCGTCCCTCATATGGTGATGATGATCCTGATGATGATACTAATGATGTTACTGCTAATGATGGATTCAGAATTTCAGAGTAATCAATGCTGGCAGGATTTTCTCAGCTTCTTCTTTTTCCCTGACTATTTTCCAAAGCATTTTGTACAAGGGACGCTGGACCCGTTTTCCAGCAGGTGACGCTCCCCACCAATAGATGGAGCATTTTCCAACAACAACAAAAAAAAAAAAGAAAAAAAAAAGTAGAAATTTCATTGGTCATGAGGTGAGAAATTGAGAATTGGTTCTCACTTTTTTTACCATTGACGTATCTCAACGTAGAGTACCGTCAAAATACATTCAAGGGTCCAATCATCAGGCTTCGACACGACGCCCGACCATCAAATTGGCAGACTTCATGGGGACAAAAAAAAACGCTAAAAAATACTGTTTTTTCGTACGCTCAAATTGGAAATGAATGTTATCGGTTGTGCCTTTGCATTTTCATCATTCAATCCTTTCCGAAAACTTCTGGATATCATTCACACATTGGATCGTATCCCGACCCGAGCTACATACACTCCTCAGTCGTTGACATCCTTAATATTTGTTTACGATATTCGCGAATGTTATCAACTTAGCCGATCCGCTACAAGATCGCACAACATCTTCCCTCGTGCAGCGACATCGAAAATCATATTTGCCAGGACATTGAGGAAACCAGGCCACGATGTGCGTTCTCCAATTATAACAATTTTGTTTGACTTATCGCATTTGTGTCTTACGCTATTCTTTTTTTTTTTTTTTTTTTTTTTTTTTGGTGTTCATCATACTTTCTACATCTTTATTACGTTGTTCTCATTTTCTCTTACAAGCTCTTTCATCTACTTATCTCATACTCAATTTGAAATTGCTGCGTGTTTCATTATGTACCTCCTCCTTAAGTACGTTTCAACTTTGCCACATTTTTGTGGAGTCCTATTGGAAGGCTTAGTTATTGCTTTACTCTGATATTGTTTAAACCACACTAAAATCGATGCAATGTTTCTACATTTCACCTTTTCTTCACTTACTGTTCCATGGAAATGTATGTCTTAACCTATGGTGCAATACCAAGTATTATTGCATTGACCCATAACTTTTTTTTTTTTTCTTCTTTTTTTCAATGACCCATAAACTGACATGTCATTTGACATTTTTTTTCTGAGTTCACGAAAGTGGACTCACTCAAAATTCCATCGCTCATTGGGTGAGAACTGGTTATGTCACTTTTTCTACCATTTGACGTACCCCAACATAAAGTACTGTCAAAATACATCTGAGGGTCCAATCATCGGGCTTCGACACCACGCCCGACCATCAGATGGTCCGACTTCATGGGGACAAAAAAACGTTAAAAAATACTGTTTTTTCAAACGCCCGACCATCAGATCAGGGTTCCACAGCCCCATCTCTAATTAAAAAGACTGACTGATTGGTTGGTTGCTTGGTTGGTTGGTTGGTATATTGGTTGATTGATTGAAAAGAAAGAAAAAAAAAGTGCGTTCGTGCACGACGTGTGTAAGTGTGTGTGTGTGTGTGTGTGTGCTCGTGTGTGTGTGTTCACCGGGGACGCGCGTGCGTGTGTGTGTGTTTCCATATTCGCTATACAATCAAAAAAAGCATAACTGCGCCAGGCTGTTTCGTCGGACTTTCACCAACTCATCAGGAGGTCGAACCCCGACAGTCCGCCCGTGTGTGTGTGCGTGTGTGCGTATCCGTGCGCGGGGCGGTGGGCACCCCCCCCCGTTACCAAACAACCAATCAATCAATCGATCAATAAATCAATAAATAATTTGAAATCGCACGCGCGCTGTTGTGTGTGTGTGTGTGTGTGTGTGTGTGTGTGTGCAGGGGGAGGGTGACACCCCCGCTTCCAACCAATCAATCAATCAATAAATAAATAAATAGAAAATGGAAAAAAAGTAAAAAAAATAAATGAAAGCACGCACGCGCGTGTGTGTGTGTGTGTGTGCGCG